GGGTTATCCTTGAGATGCGTTAGATATCAGAAGAAGAGACATTAACATTTTATTTATTTATTGGTCGAATTTAGAAAATATTATTCCTACATCTGCAATTCAACATGCGAAGGAAGATTAAAAAAATAAAAATAAAAACGTTCCTTCATATGATAATCAATCCCATCAGTGCATGCCGTACCAAAATCACCCGAAATGCCCAAACAGCAACCACAACAGCAAAAGTAAGAAAGTTAGATAGACAAGAAACAATTACCAAAATGAAACAACAATAATATAATCAAAACTTTTAAGGTTAAACCAAACAAACCCAATTTAGCTGCTCACTGTTGGAACAACTTGTAGCCAAAACTTCAGCAAGAAAGCAAATTGAGCTGAAACTAAAGCTTCTGAGGAGATGGGTGATCGGAGAAGCTCAGATTCCGGCTAAGCTTTTTGCTCTTGGACCGGTGAAGATAGCTGCAAAGGCTCTTTTTTGGTCATAAATGGTGAAGCTTGAAATATGTAGTAGTGGGCATTGAAGTGAGTGTTATGAAAAGACAGAGAGAGAGAGAGAGAGAGAATCTGAGAGTGCGTCAGTGGAAAGTGACAGAGAGAGCGGAGAAATCTATAAGGTTCTGAAACGAAATCCTTGACATTTGTGCGCTTTTTGCATGAAACGCAAAACAGAGAGGCAGTCGCGGCAAAGGGGCAGTGGGTGTAAATAGATGGGGATGGGGAGGGTGGAATTGGGGAAGCATGGAGTGGATCAACGGCTGTGATTGATGGTTGGGGGTTGTTGGGTGGGGGCCACCACTGGTGATGAAATTGATGATCTGAATTCTGAGGCAGAGTGAATAAGCTCGTGTGAGTTTGTTGGGAGATGAGCTCATTGCTCAGCAGAGAAAAACGTAAAAAGCAGAGTGGTTCTCGATTGTGGAAGTGAAGCGCAATTAGTCAAACACTTTTGTCTGGTAGTTGACCATTTCTTGCTCTTCCCTCAGCCGAAAGCCACAGATTCCGCATTATGGCTTATGAAAAGCTGATTGACCAAAAAGATACAAATTTTTAAAAGAGCTCCTAAAAGCCCGGCCCAAACCAAAACAGCAATTCTAGAATAAACGGCAATAAAAAATTAATAAATAAACTTAATTTCAAAGATAATAAATAAATCATGCATATCCCTAAACCTTATATTGTGTACTTTCCCAACACATAATTTATTAATACAAATTTCAAAAACGTTGTCCTCCGCAGTGAGAGTCGATGGCTTCTCCCCATCCAGAATGGGAGTTTTGTCCCTAAGCTACGTCTTAGATATAGATATAGGGCTTTTACTTTATTTATTTCCCCTTCCTCTTTACCCTCAATTTAATTTCCTCCAAGTTAAACTCAAATCTTAAAATCCGAAATGTACTTGTTTCTCTCTTATCCACTAATATTGTTTTTCAGCCTCCGCTTCTCACTTTTACACTCCCCTTCCTCGGTGGCACAATCTTATGTGGGGAGGCGTTTTAAGTGCAGTGTGCGCTTTTTGCTTGGATTATGACTTATGAGAGCGTTTTTTGCCTGGGTGGTTTGTTCACCCCTATTCTTTGTTCGAGGTTTTGGTTCATCTTGGTAACCTAAACCAAACACCCCTCCTTTGTGGTTGTGGACTTGCTGTCCATTCTTTCATATCTAAGGTTTCTATTTTGCTAGATCATTGTATTTGGGGCTTGAGCATGCTAAAATTTTGACTTTTTTTTTATAAAAATTTTAATGTTGAGCCTCTGTACTTTGCTTGTTTATGTTGGGCTGCCTATGCTATTAGGCCTTTCATTTGTTGTAGTATTGCTTCATTCTCTTTGAATAGAGTTATTTGACAACAACAAAAAAAAGGACAATAATGATAATTACAAATTAATAACTTATTGACATGGATATGACACGATGATGAGGTATTGTTATACTCACGGTCACCAATTTTGTTCATTGAGTGGTTAAACAATCTTTATAGGGTAAATTTGCATTCTCTTCCAACGTTTTCTTTTATACCAAAGAAAATGTTTATTTACAGATTATTGATTTTGATCGTTGAGATTTCTCGAGGCTTTTCCTTGTCATTTTCAATACGTTTGAATACAAATTCAAAAAGTGTTTATCAATTCCAGGTTTGTCCACCGTATGAACTTCTATAAATCATGCTCGATTTTCCTATCATATTTTTCATTAGCTTCAACTTCCAGTATAAAGGGATTTTTGCCTACCCTGGAAGGCTGGGGAGGGCTTGGGCTTTGCTGGTGAGGAGCTTGGGGAAAGGATTTTGAATGGGCCAGGGCTGATGGGACCAAAGGTTTTACATGCAATCAAGAGAGAGTTGAGTGAGAAGGGGGAGGGGTCGATACCTCTTACGCTCTATATGCAGCCGCCAACAGACATTAAGCACATTGTAAACCAACCACAGAATACTTAACCGCGGCACGATAATTTGCAAATCAAGGGATGTCATGTCATGAAGTTGGGGAAGAAAAGCAAACAAAACAAAGAAGCAGAAAACAAGTAGCAACCACAGAAGAGTCTCAAAAGCACAAGCTGTTGTATTTGCATTTCCTTACTTACACACGAACACTGAAATTCAAGACACTATATTTCAATTATACTTCATTTCTCATATCTACAATAAAAGAATTTGTTAATTCAGTAATATAGAATTATCAAGAAGCACAAAAGTTGGCTGTCAACCCACCACCCTGCTGAACACAAAATGACCAGACATGACAAGGGAAAATTGTCTTCGCTGCCAAATTCTCCAATCTAAAACCTATAGAGAACTAGCACATTCATGGGGTCCGCTCCAAAATTAAAAGGTAATAAGCAAGAGGAAACAACCACATTGATGTTCTTCAAACTACACTCCACTAGACCCCCTTTCAAAATTTAGCCTTCACATATCCATCGAATAGTTATAACTTCCTTCTTCCGGTTGCATCGTTCCTCCAGTGAAATCTCCCAAGCCTAGGTCAGACAATCCCAGATTGTAGTATCCTTGATCATCTTCGCCAATAACATCATCCCTCTTCAAGAAATCAAAATTGTATTCGCCACCCGAAGGGCCCTGCTCCATGTGGTTCAGACTCCCAAGCAGCTTGGCATCTGGATACTGCAGCTGGTACGACATGTTCGATGGCCTATCACACTCATAAGGGTGCATGCCCGAGCACCCAGGCTGACCAACATCAGATCCTAAACCTTGTTCTGGCTCAGGATTTCGAACGGGAGTATCATCTAAAGGACTCAATAGCTCATCCACATCAAACACCTCCTCCTCTGTAAAGTTCTCCAAATAATTCCCAGCATACGGTCCACCAGCCCAATTAAAATCCCCAACATATGCTTCTGGTTTGACGGCCGGTTGATCACTGTGAAAGTAACCCTGAGTAAACTCATCCTTTGTTTCTTCCTTCACCAGGGCTTGATTGACTGCATTGGACCAAGCATGAATTGCTGATTCGCCTTCACCATTCTCAGTTTTCACATCAAGGAAACCCTTGGAATCCTCATCTGCACAAACCTCAGAGTGATTTGATGATGTAGTGGATCCAGAGCATCCTGGAGTTGCCACTGCAGAAGACCCTGATGGAGTTGTGGCCGAGGAAGTCTCCTGTGAAGATTCCTTCCAAGAAGAATAATTGGCCACATTCGGGAGGTTGAGGCGAGCAGCCGGACCATACATAGCCTTGGCAGCTTCATCGTAGGCAAGAGCAGCATCAAGGGCAGTTGGAAAAGTCCCTAACCAGAGTCTGCTTCCCCTGTTGGGCTCCCGAATTTCCGCAACCCACTTGCCCCATGTCCTCTGCCTCACACCTCTGTAATTGCAGCGTGAATTATCGGGCCCTCCCTTGCCTTTCATACAACCTTTCTTTGATCCCTTGGCCGGGACTTTACGTGTTTTCCCGTCATTATTGTCAGATTCGAGTTGTTTGTTATATTCCTTCCACTTTTCTAGAGTCTCTGCCACAGAGGTTCCATCCCGCCTACTCCGTGTCTTCCTCTTCCTTGTAGAATCCAAGGTCAGAGCAACCTCGTTAGAACCTTGATCATAAGCTCCCATTCCTTGTAATTTATTCAGAGACTGATTGATAGTTTTCTCAACAATCTGCATTCAAATGTAGAAGCAATTCTTATTAGGAACTGCAACAGGAGCACAGAGAAAATTCTCTAAACTACGGAAGAAAAGACAAACCGCCTGGAGCTTTTATATAGCAGGGAGCACACTCAAATAAATCTAAAAAAATTGAAAAAGGACTCGGAGCTTTCCTTCGGGCCCAAGTATTCCCTAAAAAAATCAGCCTAAAAATACTCGTAAAAGGTTTTACTTGCCACCAAAGAAACGGAATTCAATATTTCAGGAAAGAAGTAAGGGAATAAAAAGGTACGCGTCAAGGAAAAATACCCATCACCAAGACAACACCCAATTTTTAGCGAATATAAATTACCCAAATCCTTCAAATAAGAAACAAAAAAAGGGAAACCCTAGTTTCTGAAAACTCAAATACTGAAAAACCCAGAAAGACCCAGATTTCAGTTTCCCGAACCCCAAACAAACAAGAACTGGTAACAAAGAAAGAGACACTCTGACTCGGTCCCAAAAAAAATCTAAGAAAATATATCAGAAAGGCAACAAACAATGAAATTAAGAAAAATGGAAACAAAAACAAAAGGCTAAGAAAATAAAATTTTCAACCAACCTCAGAATCGTTTGGCTCGATAAGTCGGACTGAGAGAAACTTCTTAGATTGATATCGTAGCCTTGCCCCTTTCCAATCAAAACGACACTTTCAGACGCGTTTTAGCGTTTTTCTACTGGTTGTTGCTTGTGATTTTAATGATTTGCTCTGCTCAGAGCGTTCTTTAGAGAGAGTATTTACTTTGTAAGCTTGAAGCTAAGCGAATCCAGAAATCTTTAGGTTTGCAAGCTGTGAGAGATATTTATAGCCTTCTCCAGATATTTCCGATCTTTTTATTTCAGAGATGACGTGGCGATTTTCTAGTCGTGTCGTGGCGTTTCGATACTGAGGCTTCCAGCACGTGTCACCCGAACCTTCGCGAATCAAGCGAGTAACTCGTCGCTTTCTTGCTCCCGAAGTACTTTCTCGTTTTGTCCCTCCTTTTATCTTCCCACTTTGTCCTAGATGAATCTAGAAATTACGATCGTACCACTAGACAGCTAACGCGTCTTTGCTTTGTGCTTCTTCTTATCCTTTTGGGAATTTATCAAATATATATATGTCCAATTGGATGTTAATTGGATTGAGTTTTTGGCGTGGTTCTAGATTAAAGTCTCGCTGATATCATGTATGTGAATTTTCCCCTTTTTCTTCCTAACTTAGGTAAAATATAAACATAAGTACATGAATATCAATAAATTATTGAATAATATGTCTCACATCAAAAATTTGACAAAATAAATAAAACATATAATGAATTGTTTCATTACTAATAACACTAAGTTATTTTGTATAAAACCTCTTAGAGTTTAGGATAATATCGATATTGGTAGTAGTGGGCCACAAGTTTGTCCCTCTAAAATCTTGTTTATTATCAAACTCTTAAATCTTAATATGGTATCAGAGTATGCTAATTTACTTGGCTCGATTGAACTTCAATTAGATAAAACCCCAAAAATTCCCAAAATTGAAGTATCGAATTTATAAATAAATAAAAAGAGTTGTCGGTATAGAATTGGTTGTACATGTAGCCCACTAAAAAGTAGTTCCACGTCTGGGGGAGTGTGGAAGAAAGTCCCACATCGGAAACTTGACAACAACAAAAATACAACATACATCTGACTATACATGTGGTTAAGTTGATGACAATATCGATATTAGTATTGAGGTCGATCCATATCTTTAAAATTTCAACATAAATATCCACACTATAGTTACTTACACATAAAGAAAACACTGCGTCAATATAGATTTATTGGATTATAGCCGTCCTAAATCAACGACATGGTTTATCTTATTAGCTTTGAATCTACATCGATCGACACAAAAGTAGACATTTAAATATGATATAAAACTAAACGTTATTAATATGATTTTATTAGGAAGCTCTTATTAGTATTTAAAAAAAATTATATTGCATGTGAAATTTTGTATTAGAGCATCTACAATGGTTGTTCAATAGTTCAATGCAAATTGAACTATTTTCGGATCTTTTGAATTGAACTGCAATTTTATTTGCAATGGTACAATGTAATACCTTCATATCAATAATTATATCTTCTTACACATACTCAAATTTTTTAAAAAAGGGATAAATTTAATAACACTAATAATTCATACCATTGAAATCTTTAAAAATATACTAATTTTGAATATATATTTGAAGAAAAAAAATTATTTTCAGGCCAAACGAACTTGTATATTTGGATTATTTTAAAAAATATAAGCAAAAAAGGTATAAGTATGCATGCTACACATGCATTAATTTTTATTTTATTATATTTTTTATTGGCATGTCCCATGATTAGCCTATTTCAATTCAATAGAGGATTTATCGCATAGCACCCTCTATTGTAATTTGCAATGAACTAAATCACACTGTTGCAAGTGAAATTTTATTGTTTTAGTTCAATTACATGCAATAAAATTGCATTAATCCTAACCATTGCATATACTACTATATTGTTATAACAAAGCAAAATTTATTAATAAAAAAAGAACGTAATTTATAAAGTTGTATGCGATTATTACACATAGTGTTTGGTTCTTTATAATTAAGGAGTCATTACCCGTTACTTAACAATAACAATCGTAAACCAAAGTGGTTGGTGTGAGTGGTTTGGCACTCTCATTCCTTAAGAGAGGTCAGGGGTTCAATCCCTGCTCTCATATGAAGTCACCACTTTGGCCAATACTTTACCCCTTAAGGGCCGACCCGGTGTGAGCGGGGATTAGTCTGGGTTGTGGTTAAGGCTTAAAGGTGCCACTCATAATTGAGGCCCATCCAGGACCACCTCGTGGTTCAGACAAAAAAAAAACAATAACAATTGTATTCATACTTTTATTTTATATACAAAATGATAATTTAAATTACTCACATAAAAGAGGATGTGCAAACATATCTACAACTAATGTAGCTCTTCAACATCACAAAAAAGATATTTTACACATCTAACTATATCTTGTAATTCCGTATAAAATTAATTAATTAAAAACTATAACTTGTAGCACACAATAAAGCCCACCCAAACAATGAAAAGTAAAAACGAAGATAGGATAATAATAATGTCTCCCTTATTCGGTCAGGAAGGATTATCCTGTCTTGCTCGTCGACACTAGACAAACCACTGGTCTAGGGTTTGCATGTGCACCACGTGTCGCAGATTGGGTAGGACACGGTGGCAGATTATTGAGGCCAAAGGTCATGTTATGAATGACGTGTTGAGTTTTATGTGGTGCAAAATGGAGAGGAGCAATAAAAGCGATTGGGTTGGGTCATAGAATAGTGTTAGGTTGGGGGATGATCATGAAAGGAAGGAAAGCTCGGGTTTGTTTTTTCGACAGTGATGAGTGCCACTACGCGTATTTGCTGACGCAGTGGCTTTCTTTGGCTGCAAAATCAAAATACAATTTTTCCAACTTCCTTCGTCTTGATAACTTTATAGATATAATTCATATCGTCGCCTTCCTTCACATGGATTGTGGATAATTTGAACTTTTGTTTTTGCCTGGTCAATTCTAGCCTCTAATTCCACATGGGTTGGCACCATAATAAAAAAGTGGGTCAAACTCTTCCCATCTCTCAAGTGCACACGGATTCGATTCATGTAGAAAACAATCTTGAGGCAACCCCCATGTAATACTCCCCCCTCCCTAACATGAATGAAAATAAAAAAAAATTATAGCCTCTAATTTGTTCACAATCCTTAGAGAAAAAAAAAAAAACAAAAGAGAGAAACTAGAATGAATTGAATTGAGTCAATTGGGCTTTCTATTTTGTGTAGATAATTTATTTGAGCTTTCTATTGAATGATAATTTCAAGACCAACCAACAAACAAAACCCATAAAAGAAAAAACTTCATTTGTTTGCTCATTGATTAAATTTTCATATGTTTTTTATAAATAAGTTATATTGGAGAAGAAGGATTCGGACACAATGCTTTAGATGCAAGGATAACTACTTTTTTTTTATTTTTTATTAAGAGGATAACTACTCTTAAATACTTGACTTACATACCTTTTACAATATAAAAAAAAAAGAAAAAGAAGAAGGAGAAAGTCCTTGCATAAATGAACCTTAATATTTGTTGAAACTCAAATAGTGGGTTGATGTAAATAGAAAAAAAGAAGAAGATAAATTAATAATAATAGGTTGATGCAAATAAAATTTTCCCTTGCGGGAGTTGACCACTTTTCTTGCGGATGAAATTTGCCACTCTTTGATCATAAAATGATGACCATACCTTCTACAACGACTTTTACCGCGCGGCTGAACCCAAGGCCGTTAATTTCTGTGTGTGTGTGTAAGACTCATCCATCATTGAGTTCTTTGTCCAAAGTCCATCAACAACAAGATCTTAAAAGGGCAGTGAGTTAGTCATTAATTCTCAACAGGCCTCCCTACTCAACCGTCTAGGGGCGGCAGCCACGGCTACGGCGGTTGTGGTTGTCACATTACTACTGCATTTCATTTTCAATCCGTTTGGACGATTCATAGGGTGAGAATTACAATCAACCCTATGAATCTCTAAACATTAATTGGTATTCTGGCAATGTGATTAGATTGAAGATTAATAATATTTGCTCAAGTCGGGAGGTGTACAAACATCAAGAATGGAGGTGACATTGAGAATTACCAGCCCGTCCGCAGCTGCGGGATTGGTCCCTGTAGCCATTTGTCAGCCACAACAGTCCATCTCCTCCAAAGGCATTTGGTTACGAGATAATCCGTTAGATTATCCATTTCCATTAATCATGGCCCAAGTCACCCTTGTCCTTTTTACCTCTCGAACGCTTTATTATCTTCTCAGGCCTTTGGGACAAACCAAATTTGCCTGCAATCTCCTGGTACATATTCATCTCCATACTTCACATGTTTTAGATATCGTCCTCTGGTAGTGTTTAAGGTTGTTTGTCCCCCTATTGTTTATTTCATAATATTCTAGCAACTTTATGGAAATTTATTTATGTTTATCACAATGCCATATTCTAGCTTTGATGGTTAATTGAAAACATTAAGGAGCAGCTTACTGGTTTTTTTTTGGATGTATTGATCATGTCTTAATTTGAAGCCTCCATCTTTAATTTGCAGGGTGGGATTATCTTGGGGCCTTCTCTGCTAGGGCACAAGAAGGTAATCAGAGAGAAGCTATTCAGAGACAAAGATGCTCACTTGTTTGAGATACTTTCTCTACTGGGCACATTATACTCCTTGTTCATAATTGCAGTCAAATTTGACAAAAACATGTTGAGAAGGACAGCAAAGAATGCTTGGAAGATTGGTCTACCTGGGTTTCTTGTTCCCTTAGCAGTATCCCTAGGCCTTGCTCATCCAATAGGCTCCACCCTTCCTGGTCTCAAAGGAGGAATGTTCTTCCTCTACTTTTCTTTCTCTTCCTTCTCTTTCACCTTCTTCCCGGTCATAGCTCAGGCCTTGAATGAACTCAACCTCATGACTTCAGAACTAGGCCATCTTGCCATGTCCTCTGCTCTGGTCACTGAAGCCATCCAATGGCTTTCAGTGGCGGTCCATATCGTTTTCACCAAAAAAAGTCCAATCCATGGAATTTTGGCTTTGGTCTCCTTATTTGCACTCACAGTTTTGATTTTCTTTATTGTAAGACCCCTTATTCTAGTAATTATTAAAAACACACCACAAGGCAAGGAAGTGAAGGAGGTTTATGTGGTGGCAATACTTCTTGGGGTTTTAGTTTCTGCAGGTATTTCTGACGCCTTGGGCGCAACTCCTATGACTGGCCCTGTACTTTTGGGGTTGGTCATACCGGATGGACCGCCTCTTGGTGCCACATTGATACAAAAGACTGAGTTCCTGGTCTCCGAGCTTCTTCTTCCGGTCTTCTTCTTTCGCGTCGGCTTCATGACCGATGTGTACTCGTTCCAGGATTGGGGAAGTCTTGGCAAGCTTCAGATGGTTATTTTGCTCACCTATGGAGCAAAGATTGTGACAGTTACAGTGGCTGCCTTGTGCTGCAAGATTAGGTTCAAAAATGGTATTTTGCTCAGCTTGATCATGAACATCAAGGGTATAGTAGACCTTGTCGTTTTTAGTCGATGGAGGTCCTCCAAGGTAATCAATCACACTCTTCTCTTCTTTTCTTTCCATTAAACTCTGAATTAATGTTTAATGTAAAAAAAAGAAAAAGAAAAAGAAAAAGAAAAAGAAAAAAGAAAAGAAAAGAAAAGAATCTTATATGAACATGACAATCTAACTTCTTAAACATTATGTGCAGATGTTAGACCAACAATCTTATACTCAAATCGTGTTGTCTATGCTGCTGGTGACATTGATCGCAACGCCGGTGGTTCGATTTTTGTACAAGCCTCAAATACGACTCGAGCCATCAAGCAAGCACTCACGCACCAGAAACATCCAATCTCCCCGATTCAACTCCGATTTCAGCATTCTGTGTTGTGTCCACAACGAGGAAAGTGTTCGCAACATCACCTCCCTGTTAGAATCCTCGAACCCAACAGAGCAGAGCCCCATTTTAGCCTATGTTGTCCGCGCAGTCGAGCTCATTGGTCGAGCCGCGCCACTGCTACTCCCATACAAGAAGAAGCAGCAGCAGGAGGGAGGGACGAAGAAACTAAAGCGCACAAACACACCAACCCATCAATTGATGCGAGCCTTCTGGAACTACTCAAAGAACTCAAAAGGGCCTGTTTCCATCCATGCCTTCACTATGATCGCCCCTTACAATTCAATGCACGAGACCGTTTGTCGTCTGGCGGAGGACAATAACATTCCTCTGATTCTCTTACCATTCCATGAAAACAACCAGTACACAGTTGGCGCAAATGTCAGGGCCGGGATCCGCCAGTTCAACGTCAATGTACAAACATATTCCCCTTGTACAGTTGGAATACTAGTTGAGAGAGGGTTGTCAGCTCGGCTATCTGTTTCCCACTTCTCTTACAATGTGGCTGTGTTTTTCATTGGCGGGCCAGATGATCGCGAGGCATTGGCCTATGCCTCGCGCATGTCTGGCAACCCTGATGTGGGGATCACGGTGTTCAGGATCATCTTGCGGAATAAGTTGAAAGAAGGGAACACAAAAGAGGAGGAGGTGGAGGAGACGATGGACGAGTCGTTGGTGGACGAGTTTAAGATAAGGAACATGGGGAATGATTGCGTGATTTGGAAAGATATTGAGGTGGATGACACTGTACAGCTCATGGATGCCATTAGGAACTCGCAAGGGGATTATGACCTTGTGTTGGTCGGGCGGCGGCACGCTGAGATGTCGTTGAGGGATGAGGAAATGGCAGAATTTGTGCAGAATGCCGAATTGGGAGTGGTTGGTGACATGCTCGCCTCTGCGGATTTCTGCGGTGGAATGGTGAATGTGTTGGTTTTGCAAGAAAACGTGGAGTTGGGCAATGGAGCTTTTCGTGCCAACTCTGCAAAAAGGTCGGCAAAGTGGACTAAATTTTCGGGGTAATTACCAAATTTTTTGGCAATGTGTATGGCAGAAGGTAGACAGAGGAGGAATGGCTCATGGCTAGCTAATTTTCTCCTTTCGACTAGTTTTACTGTTAATAAATTTTGTGCAAAACCAAATATGCAAAGAGTTACTAGTTTTTATTTTTATTTTTTAAAGTCAATGAGAATTACTAGTTTGATACGTGTTCCCTTTGTGATTAAATGGCAAATTTTCAACGACAATAGTTCAAGATTAAGCTTAGCTTCAACAAACTCCAGCTCCTATAAATGACTCAATTCTAATTACTATAAATTGAAATCAGCTATATATGACTTGGCCAGCTTCATCCCCTCTTGCGTTTTGATGACTTTGAGCTATCTGTCCTTCATGTATAGTTAGTTGCTTTCTCATCATCTTGTACCAATGTGATGACGATTATACCCTTTACAACGTCTCTTTCCCGCATAAGGTGGGCATAACACAAGATCACTTGAATTACCTGTTCTTGCCTTCTTATTTTACTGTAACAACTCATGCTTTGCTCATGGTTCCATACATATATAATGTACTTTTAAAGCTATTCTCAAATCGATTTCAAACCTGTAATGGCCGGTGACGGGAGTGGTTATCCTACCAAATAATATTGAATTTTTACCTTCAATCTACTGCTCGAAAAATTCATAGGGGGATTGAGGTGACGACCAAAACCATGGATGTGCTCAAGTTGGAAGGGACAGAAATGATAAATAGAACCCAAACTATCCTGGCCATTCAAGTTTGTGTTCCATTTCAGCGCATTGATTCCAAAGGCATTTGGTTAAAAGACAATCCTTTAGATTTTCCATATCCTCTAATGTTGTTCCAAATTATCCTCCTTGTTCTCATCTCTCGAGCGCTTTATTGTTTGCTAAGACCTTTGGGACAAACCAAATTTGTCTGCAATCTCCTGGTATGCTTCTTGGAATTTTTCTAATGCGTTTCTTTGGTATCAAATGTACACTTAAATAAGTTATTTGAACCCTCCTTTCTTTTCATTGCTTGTTTTTCTTTAGGGTGGCATCATCTTGGGGCCTTCCGTGTTAGGGCACAACAAGGCATTAAGGGACAAACTGATGTTCGGAGGAAAAGAGGTTGGATTGTCAGACACTATTGCTCGTGTCGGCGTAATATACTCGGTATTCTTAATTTCAGTGAAATATGACATGGCGACGTTCAAAATGAAGGCGAAGAATGGCTGGAAGATTAGTTTGGTGGGATTTCTCTTTCCATCTGCAGTCACCTCAAGCTTGGTTTACACGATCGCCAGCACCATTTCCGGACTCACTGGAGGAACATTCTTCCTTTTAGCTCTTACATTTTCTTTATCTTTCTCATATTTCCCTGTCGTAGCTGAGGCCTTGGATGAGCTCAACCTCATGACTTCTGAGTTGGGCCAACTTGCCATGTCATCTGCCACCATCAACGACATAATCCAATGGATCTTCACGGTGGTGCATCTCATAGTTATTCAACAAAGTATAAACGACGGAGCTAAGACTTTGGTTAGCTTATCGGCATTGATATTATTCACTGTTTTTGTCATACGGCCGGTTATAAAATGGATCGTCAAGAGAACACCAGAAGGACAAGAAGTAAAGGACGGCTATGTGATTGCGATGCAAGTTATGCCTCTTGTTATGGCCTTCCTCTCTGACATCATAGGCATGAGGCCTGAAGCTGGGCCTATCCTTTTGGGGTTTGTCGTTCCAAATGGACCGCCTCTTGGTGCAGCACTTGTACAAAAGACCGAATTCATGGTCTCCGAAATTTTTCTGCCCTTGTTCTTTTTCCGGGTTGGCTTGACCGTAAACGTCTACTCTGTGGACGATTGGTCGAGTTTTAGAAAACTTCAGCTTATACTTACCATGTCGTATGTTGTGAAGATTATCGCAGTTACGGTGATTGCGTTGTGCTGCAAAATTAGATTAAGAAATGCTCTCTTCCTCAGCATGATGATGAGTATGAAGGGCCTAATAGAGCTTATCGTTTACGATGCATGGAAGGCTGTTAAGGTAAGAAACAGAGAGAAACAGAGACTCTTTAATTTCTAGTTCTTTTTTGTTTTTCGTTTTCCATATACCAACAATGAATTAATTTGGGTTCCAAATTTTAATCAAATGCAGGCCATAGATGAGCAATGTTTCACTCATATCGTGTTGTCTGCTCTTGTGATGACCATGATCGCATCGCCAATGGTACGGTTCTTGTACACCCCTCCCAGAGCATCGGAAACCATACTTTCCCGAATCAGAAACATCCAATCAATGCCAAGCAACTCAGACATGTTCCGCATTCTTTGTTGCTTCCACAACGAAGAGAGTATCCCCAACATCACCTCCCTCCTCGAAGCCTCAAACCCGACACCATCAAGCCCCATTTACGCCTACGTTGTCCACGCAGTCGAGCTGGTTGGCCGCGCTGTACCCCGACTAGTCCCCTTCAACACTGAAAAACAGAACGCCCGCAAAAACTCAGCCACCCGTCAAATGGTTCAAGCATTCGATAACTACTTGAAAATCTCCAGCGGGCCGGTCATAATCCAAGCATACACTATGATGGCGCCGTATAAATGTATGCACGAGAGCCTTTTTCGCCTGGCTGATGACAAGTTTGTGCCTCTGATCATCATACCATTTCATGAAAACCATCCGGGAGTTGTTGGACCAAGTATGGTCGCCGCGATACGACACTTCAACGCCAATGTGCAATTATATTCCCGGTGTACGGTCGGGATCCTAGTCGACAGAGGCATGTCTTGTCCGCTGAGCTCAGTCCACTTCTCTTGCAATGTAGCTCTGTTTTTTATTGGGGGAGCAGACGACCGCGAGGCGTTAGCCTTCGCGGCACGCATGTCTGGCAATCCAAACGTCGGAATGACGGTGTTCAGGATAGCTTTGAGGAGTAAATTGAAAGAGCGGAATGAGGAGGAGCAGGTGGATGCAAAGCTGGACGAGTCGTTGGTGGATGAGTTCATGCTAAGGAATATTGGGAATGACCGGTTGGACTGGCGGGAGATTGAGGTGGATGACGGCGTGCAGCTTATGGATGCGGTTATGAACTTGCAGGGGGGTTATGATCTTGTTATGGTGGGGCGGCGGCATGCGGATATGACGTTGAGGGACGAGGAAATGTCGGAGTTTGTGGAGAATGCAGAGCTGGGAGTGATTGGTGACATTGTTGCTTCCTCGGATTTTTGTGGCGGGCAGGTGAATGTGTTGGTGATACAAGAAAGCAGGGAATTAGGATATGGAGCTTTTCGCGGTGGAGTTTGAAATTTTGGCAATGCATGATGAAATCTGCGCCGGTTAACAAAGTTTCGCCCAATGTGGTCGAAGGCCATCAACCGTCGAACAGCGAAACGTCAACTGATTTTTGAGCAATGATTTGGTATTTGTTTAAAGATTTGGAAGATACAAGCCAAAACAGAGGAACAACTGTTGATGAGTAGAACAGAGTAACTTGGTTGAACATTTTCTGATATAAAATGTGATGAGGCGAGTGGTGACTAGTCAGTTTAGTTAGAAAACTTTGGGAGTTAGATTTTGATGCCATGAAGGCCATAATTTTCTTGTAAACAATGGCTTTTATAGATTGTAGCTTGTTTTCCTCTTTTTAACCTAGTTGCACTCAAATTTACCCAATTTTTCATGTGTTTAATATTAATATCTGATATTCTACTTTCATCTTATGTATTGAGGATAAGTTCTTTTGTTGCATGAATAAGAACCTTTTACCAAGTTGAACTTGAAATTTTCAGTCAGTTTTGTTAAAAAATTGATAGATGATAATTTCTCGAACCTCATGACAATTTGTGATATAGAGAGTAACCTTAAGGACCAATTATGTTACACACAAAAAAACCTTAAGGACAAAAGATGATAATTTTTCGAATCTCATGGACCATTTGTGACATAATTTAAGGACTCAAGATGATAATTTCACAAACATCACGGACTATTTGTGATAAAAAGTCTTATATTTATTTATACTTTCGTATTGCTTGCGTTCAAATAAGACTTTTTGTGTGGATATATTGTGCAAGAAGCTTTTATATATATATAATATTCTTGCTGAACGTGTTTGAATTTTTTTTTTCTTCTTTTTGGATAGAGCATTAAAATATTAATTATTGATGAATAGAGAAAATCATTCTTTTTAAATATAAAACAACGATTAATTTTTTTTAGTACAAGCGATAGTCTAAACTATAGAGGAGGGGGATTTCTCACACACACACAACTATGATGCCATGAGAATTCAAACCTGAGAGATCTCTGGTTTGCAAGTCAATGCCCTTTTTCACTGGATTAGACTCGTTGACCAAAAAGCTATATTAATTATTTTATTTTTTTGGTATGAACCACGAGGTGGTCCTAGATGGGCCCCAATTATGGGTGGCACCTTTAAGCCTTAACCACAACTCAGACTAATCCCCGCTCACACCGGGTCGGCCCGTAAGGGGTAAAGTGCTGGCCAAAGTGGTGACTCTGTACGAGAGCAGGAATCGAACCCCTGACCTCTCTTAAGGAATGAGAGTGCCGAACCACTCACACCAACCACCTTGGTTGCTATATTAATTATTGATAAATAGAACAAATCGTTTTAGTGGATATTGAAAGACCAAATGGTAGCCCATCCAGGACCACCTCGTGGTTCAGAACCAAAAAAAAAAAAAACCAAATGGTGTAATCCATTGTCCATGGTGTCCAAGGATTCCTAGTGTCATTATGCATCAGCCTTGTGAGAAAACAGGTCTCTCATTAGAGGCTGCATTGATAGGCAATGCTTTGAACAAAAAATATATACTTTCGTTTCATTGATGATGATAAGTAAAAGTGATGCACAAATAATATGATGAGCTATAAAAAAAACTCCAACATGGATGTAATTTCTTACTATCTCTAACTATAAATTGAAATCCGTTGTAACAGCATAACCAATTGCTTTATTATTATTATTTTTACAAATTTTATGTCTGAAGTGTTTGACTTTAGCCAACTCCTGTATTTCGTTGGTTCCTACCAAAGAAATTGACAACTTAGTTTTTTTATTTAAAAAAAACAGAAATTGACAACTGACATAACGACTGTTACAGCAAAAGAGGGACATAACCGCCGGAAAAAAAAAAAAAAAACTCAAAATTACCTGTTGTCCTGGTATATGTATTTCACTTGAAACAGCTCATATGCTTCTCAACTTAGGCTTCAGTTATTAACACTGAGTTTTACTTCAAATTACAACCAACCAAGAACCAACCTTAGGTTTCGAAGTTTTTGCAAAATCTCAATCTCAAGCGATCATTTGGGAATTTGGGAATTTGGGAAATGGCTGCCTTAAGCAACACCACACAAGTTGATGTAGTGGAACCGCAGCATTGCATGCTAGTTCATGCCTCCTCCTCCAGAGGCATTTGGTTCGGAGAGAATCCTTTCGACGATCCCTATCCTCTAATGCTAGCCCAAATCATCCTAGTTGTTCTTACTTCTCGGCTGCTTTATTTTTTGCTCAGGCCATTGGGACAAACCAAATTCGTCTGCAATCTCCTTGTATGCTCACCCAAATGCTCATCATGCTTGTTGAAAGCTTTTATTTCCTTCAACAATGAGATTTCAATTTAAAAACTAGGGTCATGTTCCTCTAGTTTACTAATTAAGTTTGTGACATGACATTATTATCTTTTTGGTTGAAATGTTTTTCAGAGTGGCATTATCTTGGGGTCCTCTGTTCTTGGGGGCAGCAAGTCATTCAAGGATAGACTATTCGCAGCTAAAGTGATTCCATTGTTTGACACAATGGCCACTGTTGGTGCAATATACTCCATGTTCCTTGTTGCTTTGAAATTCGACGCAACCCGCTTCAAAAGAATGGCAAAAGATAGCGTGAAAATTGGTCTGGTCAGCTGCATCTTACCTTCCGTAGTCACCTCAATCCTCTTCCTCCTGCTAGGCCTAGTCGGCGCCATTCATGGACTCGGGCCAGCTCCTGCAGGAACATTCTATCTTACTATTACCTTTTCTTTAACTTTTTTTCCTGTGGTAGCTCAGGCCATGGATGAACTCAACCCTATGACCTCTGAGTTGGGCCAATTTGCCATGTCCTCTGCCATCCTCAACGATGTAATCTTCTGGTTCCTCATTGCATTGCATCTCATATTAACGAAACAAGACGCAACCTGCGACATTGAGAGTTGTATTTCCGTCTTTGGGTTGATATTATTCACTGTCTACGTCATACGCCCAATTATGCTGTCGATTGTCAAGAACATCCCCCAAGGAGAAGAAGCCAAGGAAGTTCATGTAGTTGCAATACAACTTGGGGTTTTAGTCATGGCTTTTATCTCCGACGTCTTAGGCACAACGCCGTATGCGGGTGTTGTACTGCTGGGGTTAGCCATCCCCGGTGGACCACCTCTTGGTGCAGCAGTAGTCCACAAGACCGAATATTTGGTCTCCCAAATTCTTATGCCAATGTTCTTTTTCTACGTTGGATACAGAATAAATTTGTATTCGATTCGCGATTGGGTGAGATTTTCCATACTTCAGACGATCATTATCGTGTCGTACGTTTCAAAGATTGTGGCAGTTGTAGCGGCTGCAATGTGGTGCAAAATCGGGTTTAAAAATAGTCTAAGGCTCAGCATGGTCATGAGCGTCAAGGGTATAATAGAGATTGTCTCTTATTCTCGATGTAGGACCATAAAGGTAAATAAAACTCTTTCCCTTTTTCTTTCACTTCCATAATATCCCACCCCATACAATATATGTTAATTTTGATTCCAAGTTAATATTTCAATTGCAGCTCATAGATGAACAAGCTTTTACTCAAATAGTGTTGTCTATGCTGGGGATGACCATGATTGCAACACCATTGCTACGATTCTCGTACAACCCTAAAATCCGACTCGGAGCATCAACCAAACATCCCCGCTTCAGAAGCATCCAATCAATGCCAAGCAACTTCGAAACATTTCGCATTCTTTGTTGCTTTCACAACCAAGAAAGCATCCGCAACCTTATTACCCTCCTGGAAGCCTCATACCCAACGCAAGCAAGCCCCATCTGCGCCTACATGGTTGATCGGTGCATATTTACATATCATTTTGTACCCTTCTAGCTTATGATTTGGTTATGTTTTTGAGTTAAACTTGTGCTTTTAATCATTTTTGTGTTTATCTTTCAGTTCATTGAGCTTTAGGTAATAATGAGGGCTTTGGATAGTAAATGATGCAATCCATGCATGTTAGGGCCTAATTTGGATGAATGGATGAAGAGCTTAAAGACAAACTCAATTTTGGCTACAGTCCCCTGCCAGCTCAGTTTCATAGGTCATATTGCAAGCTTTGTTTCAGCAATCTACATAGCTCGGATGAGGCCACATTCTTCATGAAAGTTGTTCCAATGGGTGTGTAATATAACACCCCATATCCAAAATTCAGCCCCATTGGATAAATATGGAGTCTGTTAACTAGCAAACACAGAGCCATGCTCAGGATGGATTTTATCAGCGCGCAAAATGAGTTAGCAATTTGTTTTGGCCTTAACTTCCTCCTC